AAAAAAAAGACAAAAGCATTATAAAGTACCAAAATTTTTCGTAATGCATTTTATATGTCAATAAGTTGCACTTTATACAACAATACGTCGCACCTTATAACACAACATGTTGCACTTTAAAAAACAACACGCTGCACGTACTAAAATTACATTAATTATGCTAATTAGCCTAATATTAGTTGGTTAAATGTCGGATTTAGTTTTTTTTAAATAGAATAAATAAACGAACATGCCAAAATATATGGAAAATACTATCGATATTTTATTTATTTATTTATTTATTAATGAAAACTAATATTTTTTTATCTATAATTTTTATGTATTGTAGGTGCACATTAGGGTTATACGGATTGCACATAAATGTCAACCAGATTGTACAAAATCGGACGAGATGCAACAAACAGAAATTTGGTATGAAATTTTATATTTTGGTTTGATTATTATTATTATTATTTTATATCTCGGGTATTTCTGTACGATCTCATTTTTTTAATTTACATAACCGAAATAAAAAATAAAATATATTAAAAATATTTTTTAATATATTATGAAATATTGATTTTTTTTAAAAAAAATTGACCAAACTAAATCGAAATTTTATACTATGAACAATTATCTATTTTTACTTTCAATTTTAAAATACTGGCTACAATATTATAAATATACATAATAATTTAATTCATTTATGTTGGTTAAATCGAATAACTGACCGATTAAAACGACCATTTGTGTTCGATTTTAATTTGGTTTACGATAAAAATACCATCGGTTCAATTAAAATATGCAACACCGCGCATTTACGATCAAAGCCGTTCACAATATTTTTATATTCCTAAAATTATTAATAATTTAGTATAAATATTTATCCACAAATATATTTATGTTATAATTAAAGGTTTTAAAATATTACACAATAGTCCCTAATATTAACCTAATTTTCATAAACTAACCCCTAAATCAATTCACACTAAATCACCCAACAAATCAATTTCTGGCCAAATCACCCAACAAATTCGCACCCAGATCAGCCAAGTCCCCAGCCAAATCGCACAACAATTCACACTCAAATTAGCCAAATATGTTTCACCAAATTGAAATTCACTCTCCTTTCAGATCGCCAGTCCCAAACACAATTACAGCCGCCGCTTACCCGTTTCCGTTCAGATCGCCGACGAGCTCATCCCGTTCAGGTGGCGTCCCTCTACTATTCCCGACTCCTCATTGTTTGCAACTAATCTGCAACACTCAAATCTCCTATACCGTCTTCATATATATATATATATATAGGACTCACCCGGAACGGCATCCTTCGACGTCAGTACAATCCGGGTGCTCGACAGGCGGGCAGAGGGAGGTTGAGAAAGGGTCAGATGACGGTGGTGGTGGTGTTGGGATGGCCGATGGCGCTCGACGGGGTGGTTGCGGCGACGACGGTAGTTTGGTGGCAGCATCGACGAGATAGTTTGGGGTAGTCGTGGTGACCGGTGGTTTGGGTTGGTTGATTCTGGAGTGTTCGGGAAGAGTGGAGGGGGATGGAGCTGCTATGACAGAGGAAGGCGGTGTCTGCGGCGGTCGCCTGGTATGGCGGAGGTAGGTGGGTTTCGGGCGGGTTTCGGTCGCCTGCTAGTGTGTGTTTGTGTGTGTGCTGAGTGCGTGTGTGAGAGATGGATGGTAGTGGGGTGGGTCCCATTAGATGAGATGAAAAATATTGTAATGACTAATATATCCTTAATTATTGGTCAAATACACATATTTGACTATAATAATTTAAATAATTACTAAATTGTCATTAATGATTGACTATTACTTATGAAAGTTTGACTTGATCATGACCATTAATTTAATGGATCCAAATGGTCTAGAGTTATTCTTATTTTTTTCACTTTTTTCTCATTCTCACATGAAATCTATTCATTATACTGTTACTCTTTTATTACTAATATTCATGAAATCTAATTCGTGTTTCCCAATTAGACTCCCAATGCTACATATTCAGCTAGTTTATATTATGACTTACTGAAGACTTATGACTAAATAACTAAATGAAACCTAAAATACAAATTCTACTTAAACAAGTCGATTTGAGTTCGATCAAGCTCGATTTATTAAATGATTCGAGCCAAATGCTCGTTTATTATGTAAACTCGTTATACGACATGCCATTAAATTTTTGGAGGTTTGCATATCATTATATTGAATATGTTATACAAATAATTGGGATTAGGTTGAAGATTTCATATATTGATCAGGGGGTGCAAATATTAATGCCATTAAACCAAATAAGAGAAAAAAGAAAAGAGAAAACCATCCAACAATAAAAATACATTCAAAACATAATTTGTCTTTCATTATGCAAGATACATATATCTAAATTGATTCATTAAACATTATATATAGTTATATATATTCCTAGGTACAAACTTGAACCATTGTCCCTGTGGATTGTATGGACAAGTTAGAAGATCATGAAGATTGTTGTTAACACAAAAACACTTGTTAGTCACTAGGGCGGAGTTATTAATATGTTTCTCCAAACACTTGTATTTTCCGTGTTTGACTCTGGTAGCTAATTGAAGACCAATGCTCGATGCAACCTTCCACTTGGTCGAGCAATCGTACGAAACACGAGCGGTCTCACCATCTCCAGCCATCTCGAGGCACCATG